TTTTTGCTAATATACAACTTTACAAAATTGCATATAAGTCTTCTTCACTAACATTCACACCTTGACAAATTATGTTCACGAACACCTACTTTGTAAAATCGATAGTTCTTTTCGAATTTTTAAACACCTAGATTTTGTTTTTTAATCAATGAGAAAAATATTTGTAATGTAATGATGAACACTTACGTTGTATTTTAACACGAATATCATGTTTAATATTATGTGGAACACATTCATTAATAATAGACTAAAATTTAGAAAATCTGAATAAGAATTTTTCTTTAAAAAAAAATCTTTTATTTACTGCACATCGACTTCTTAAAATAGTAAGTTGTTGTTCATTAATAATTTTTTTTGATTTTCTTTTTGTTACATCAGAATTTCGTGTAAATATATTAATAGATTGAAAAGATTTTTTTGGTCCTTTTAAAACATCACATCGAAATATTGAACAATAATCCGATAAACATACAGATTGTTCATCCTAGAAAAAAAAATCGAATTATTAATTAAAGAAAATAAACTTCTTACATGTATTAATGTATCATTATGTCGATTAGACATATGTATATCAATATAATATTCTGAATAAAATAGTTTATTACAATATTGACATAACCATCGATTGTCTGTTATTTTAATTTTATTTAATTCTTGATGATAATAAATATCACGTTTTGATGAAAAAATACATTCAACAGGAATAGATAAATCATGTTTTTCATAGATTGAACTAAGTGCCTAGAAATTTTATGAAAAATCATTAAAAGAAAACAAAAAAAAAATCTTTTTCTTTTTCAATAAATTACTTTTCTAAAATAATCACGAACAATTCGACTATTTTCACGTGAACATGATTTACTAAGAATAACAGATGAAATGTTCAAAAGAGACCAAATAACGATAAATAGAATATTAATATTCATCATAATAACATCTAGAAAGTAGATCGATATATACTCAGTCATTTTATTATATGAGATTGAAAGAAGAAGAAGAAAAACAAAACAAAAGAAAATTTAATCGAATAAAATTCATATTTAGTCTAAAATATAAGAATATATCACATTTAAGTGTAACAACAAAAAATTAAAAAGAAATGTTCTCTATATCACTAACGATGTGAAGTTTGATTTACACAAGCTTCATAGGCCGGATAAATTTGGAATCTAAAAATAAAAATTTATTCCGTAAAAATCTTATAGAACTCAAGTAAGAGTAATTAGTTATTATATAACTATGTGCAAGCTTTTCATCATTCACCGTTATTTCTTCTATGTTTAATGCTAACTACGATGTTTGTTCCGAATCGTTATCCGTCGTACTTAATCCTAATTTACTGTGTTTATTTGTATATTCCAAATAACTAAACATAGTACCACCAATAAGTGATAATATAATGCCAATAATTGTTTTATTATTTATTGGAAGTCGATCAAATGCAAACATACCAAGAAATACTTGAAGAATACTCTTTAAAACTCCGACTACACTATTGAAATAAGACAAAAATTTAAATAATAATATAAATAAAAACAAAAAAAGACAACACTTTTTAATAATTACGTTGTAGTTAATGCTGAATTTTTAATTGTACACCAAAATGTTGTACCATTAAGTAAACCTCCACCAACTGTTGATAATAAAAAATATAACCAAAAATTTATTGTATTATAACCTTTATAAGATTTCACATTTGATAATTCATTAGTAAATATTATCATTAAAAGTAATATCATTGGTAATGATAATAAACTATTAATATAAAAAATTTCATTAGATGTTCGTTGTTCACAATATCGTTGGATTGTAAGAAGATAAAGAGAATGAAATATTACACTAAAACTTCCGATTATATACGATTCCATATGATAAGATACATCATCAATGGATGTTATTGCTGCACCAAGAGTAATAGTGAATACACATAAACCTGTTTTTATATTAAGATTTTGCTTTTTTAATACTATTGCAGATAAAATAAAGGTTAATGCTGGCGTACAACGCTATAACATAAAACAAAAAACGTGCTTTTTGTTTTTTCTTTAGAAACATGAGATTATATCATGTAAAATTATTATGAAGTAAGCAAAAATTTAGATTTAATGCGATTTATCTTCTGTTAAAATTTAGCATATACGAAGACTGCAGAGTATTGTGAGCATCTGCACGAATCAAAACCAATAAATATATTAATTACAAAGGCAAAAGACAAAACATTCAAGACATTCTATTACAACAAGACTAAAACGTCATTACATGAATAATATTAATTTATTTGCAATGTTGTTGTTGGTTTTTTTTTGACTTACTTTAATCACAACATAAACAGCTATATTAAGTTTCATAAGTGCTTGTAAAGATAATACTGTATTGAAACAATAAAAAATAGATGGAATAAGTAATGTATATGCCTCTTTTTTTGTCATAATAGGTAGTGTTATAAAATGAAAATAAGCCAATATATGGAATGATATAAGTATAAAACTAAGTTGAGAAAAAATTACAACTAAACTATTACGAAAATTAGCTATTTCAAAAAGTGCTTTGTTAAAAAACGCCAATATAAATGATAAAAAACCATAAGCTAACATTGAAGATACATGTAACATAATTAATTATTGATTTTCTACTTGGAATATATATATTTTTTTTGTATCTTAAAAACGTAATAAGCAAAACAAAATTATGATAATTATTTTAATTTTAATTTTTTATTTAATTTTATTTCTTTCATGATAAAATATACAAAAATTTATATTTAATTGTTGAAATTTGAAATTCGATGTTTGATAACTAAAATATGAAACAATGAAAAAAATATTTAATAACAAACGCATTAAAAAAATTCATCAATCATTTCTAATTCTTGACACGTATTCGAGAGAAAACAAAATTTTTTAAAGAGAATTTTACGGAAAAATCCTAGTGCATTACGACTTCTATCAAATTTTATCCAATTGAGTTGAAAATATTTAAGACCATATTTCACTACATAACAGTTCGGAGTTAAGATCAGGGATGTAATTTTTAGAATTCCATACACTCACGAGGGAACCGTTTCAAGTGATTCACGCCGATTTTGCTTATATTTTGCCCATATGTAGGGGTCAGTATGCTAAGAAAAAGCCTAAGAGGATTTGGGCCCATGTTGCTTCTTTCGAGGGTTATGGCCATTTTACTGATTTTTCNACGTTTTTTTTCTTTTTTTGGTTGTCAAAGCCGCCGCCGGTCCAGAAAAACATAAAGTCTAGCAGCAGCCGCCGCTTTGGAAGAAAAAATAAAAAATTGACGCCGCCGCTGCAGGTGTACAAAAACATAAAGTCTAGGAGGCGCCGCCGCTATGCAAAAAAAAATTGACCGTTAAAGGCGCCGCCACTGTTTGGCCCTTCGGCTTACACCTTTAATCATAGATGAGAGTACATATTCTTTCGTATTAGATATAGTTAATATGAAATTTATTTTAACTTTAATTCTTATCTTACTCGTCGCGAATTGAAACAATACGTCATAAATGGAAGAATTCTTTTTTATAGAATACAATGTTTCATAATAGTTTAGATAACGTATGTATGCTATCGAATATTCAAAATTATAGTAAGATTTTTTTTTGCTTTAAAGATGAAATTATAATAAACATCCTCATAGAAAAAAGATTATGTGGATATTTTTTTGAAAATATTGTTTCATTGTTAAGAAAATCAAAATTTTCTACTTCAGCAGGAAAATCATACTTGTATTTAGTGACTTTGATTATTATAATTTCACTCATGAGAAGAATACATGCGATATTCGGATTCAGTATCAAAAACTATGTTGAATGACATAAATTTCAATGAAAAATATTTTCCATCGAAACTTCGCCTTTGGTGAACCACGAACAAAATTAATAAGAACAAAAGGGCTAAGAAGGAGTGCAGACATACATTTGATGAAAAATATTTTTCATTGAAACATATACTATCTAATTCAGTTTTTGATGTTGAATTCAAATAACACATGTATTTTGCTCATGAATAACATCTTGATGGTTGAATACAAGCAGAATTTTGCTACTGAAATAAAAGATTTTTCGATAGAATCTTTTTTTATCATTTATACACGATTAATCATCCGAAAATATTATTATTTTGAATTGCCGGTAGCTTAGAATAGTTCGTGGCAGGCCTATGGGGGAAACGGAAGCAGCGAGTACTTTCATCTTTGAAATTTATATGTGCTGTATCTTAAGAATCTTTGTATGTCTATGAGATTTACAGAGATATATAATGTGCATTTCTCACTATTTTTAAGTTTATAATGCTTGTATTCTGAAATGAACGATTCGATAGAAGAAAAACAACTTATATAAATATTTGACTCTGATGTGAATTCCACCATTTGACTTTCAAAAATATGTACGCTGCTAAAATCAATTCTTGATTTTTTTCTTCATTTCGACATGCTGGTTTGTGATGCATTTTTTTGTCTTTTTTATTGCAATTTCAATCGTCTTCCTGTTTATTAACCTTATTTTAACTTCAGCTATGTCCGTTTCATTAAAAAATTAATTTCCGTTAGTGGTTCTGAAAAATGTTTCATTTCTTCTAGATCCGACTACAAAGCTAATAAACACTCTAAATCAAATGTCTTTCAATAACAAAGTTTACAAATCTAAGGATTATCAATTCCTGATAACTGAAAATTTTTATTTTTTTTTTTTCGTAATTGAATAATTTACATTAATATTACCATCTATCGTAGTGTAACCTTTTATTTATTCTAGTGACTGGTCTATGTTAGAAACACTAAATGAATATGAATGTAGAAGATCCACACTCTCATCGAATTTCTAAAAATCAACTAATCTCTAAATCTAATGAAAGAAAAAACTGATTATTTGTAAAATCACTTTTTCTTACACTTCAAAATATTCTTTATCTGATGATAACACTTTTAAGTGCTATTATTTACTTTTTTTCAATGATTTGTTTGAAAAAAAAAGTCAGTACAATAGATACCAGACTCACTCGTATTCATATATACTTTACGTATTGTTATTACTTGTATTAAATATTTTTTTTCTTGTTGGATAAGATTTCTATTTCTATCATACAGCTAATGAGCGTTTGTAAAGTTTAACAATGAAATAGTCAACAGTCATGTTAATGGTTGATTAGTGCTCATTGTGTCGATGATTATTGAGTATGGAATTCAGTAAAAAAGATCTATGTAATTCATGTTTGATGTAGTAATACATTATTTCCGAATATGAAAGTTTCTTTTTGAATTTGTCCAATGTTACCAGTGACAATAGTCACAAGCAAGTAAAACTTTTTCGATATGAAAATTTCATGATTCAAAAATCGTCTGAATAGACTAGCTATGATATATATATATATGTTCCATCATTCAAATTGATGTCGAACACGTTAGCGATTACTTCTTAAAGAAAAAATTAGAAAACTAGAATTTCTTTAATTATTTGTTTTTTAGTTGTTTTGACTTTCAGGGATTACAGTATATATTTGAACAATTGATAATAGAAAATGTCAGAAAAATCATCTTGAAAACCGTGAATAATTTGTTTTCATCCGCTATTTCTTTGAAAATTTCCTGGATCTGCCAACTGTTAATGACAGTAAATAAAGTTAATCATATACGGCAAAAACCCGGTGTAAATAAGATACTATGTTGAGAAAATAAAACCGTAGTATAATAATATTTATCATTTATCGAGAAAAACGATCATAAATGGTTTCATTTACCTTATAGTGCAAAGTTCTCGGTAACGCAATACGATGAACTGTGGTTTAAAAAAACCGACACTCCAGAGTGATCATTCTAACCGTCTGAAATGTAGTACAGTAGCTTAAAGTGTTTATTAAAAAGTCAGTAATTGTGAAAAAAAAATGCTTCAAAATTAAAACGATTACAACTTTGAATCATTTTAACTCAATTCACTTTTTTATTTTTTTTGTTTTTGTTTTGTAGACTATATTAAGTTGAAATAATAATTATTTTGATTTTATTGATAAATTTGATAGAATAAGTATTTTAGAAAATCAACACTTATGAAATCTTGTTATATTGTTTTGATGTATTCATCTACAAATATCATCATCTGATATTTGTGTGTCGAGTGTAATTTTGAAAAATATAAGACAATATATTTTTTTGCTGTATAATCAATGATAATTTTCGAACTTCTGAGAATAATATAGTCAAGAAGTGAAATTATTCTCATTGAATTTTTATTCTTTTAATATAACAATCATCTTCAATATATAGTGCGCAACAAAAGTTTCTTCCGTAGTGAAATGAATTTTTTTATATTCTTTTGATGCATGAGAATAGAATGTAACACATTGTGATTTCCTGACTGTTTGCTTGTTATTTGTGCAAAGCAAAAAATATGTCAATACGTCTATTTTTGGATGACTTGATGAGAGATGACAAGGATAATATGAAGTGAGACCGAAATTTCAAGCTGATGGATTTCTAGCAAACAAATTACAATTCGTAATTTTGTAGTCAGTTTTCTTAGTATTGTCCGTTGATGGAACATATAGCAGAAATTTTTCCTTCTGTAAAATTATTAACTCGAACTCATTTCACATGGTCCATTTCATTTCTTAATAAGTCATTCAAAAGTAAATGTATTGACATATTTTTGCTTTGCTCAAAGAAGAAAAAAACAGTTAGAAAATTACTATGTTGCATTCTATTCTCATGTCTCTCAAAAGAATTATAAAAAATTCATTTCAATGTGGGCGAAACTTTTGTCGTACAGCAATAGGTTGTAATGAAGTATAGATAATTCTGATAGTCAGTATTGTGTTAGTATGTATATTGTTCTGTTTTGTTTTGTCTCGTACTTCCTGATTAATATATCGAAGACTTGTAGAGAAGAAAAGCGAAAGAATAAGAAAAAGAACAAGACAGTAGGATCAACGGGTAAAGCAAATTGACAGAACAGAAAGTGCATTCATATTCTTATAAATCGAAGACAGAGAGAAATATTTGCTTTATCATTGAGAAGAGACAAATGAATGTTAGCGCGTTGATGCTGAATGTGAATGTATCTTATTTAATGGGACACGAATTTTACTAATATTCTTTAACTATTAGTTTAAAATTACGAACACGGTTAGAAAATTATGTTGATTAATTATTGTAACGAAGCTAGTTATAACGTAAGTGTACGATTACAGTCATGGTCGAAATTTAGATAAATTGCGGCTGATAGTTAGACTACTTTATTTCATGATAACTCTAATGCATAAATAGAAGAAAGCATTGTTTGTAGACGTATAAATAAAGAAATGTTATTAGCATAATCCCTGCGGAACTTGAAATGTGAAATACAATGCACTTGCTGTAGCTTATCATAGAGTGATTGTTTTATTCTATCCATTCTGGGACACATTTCATCCACAGCGATTTTTCTCAGTCCTGCAGAAATGCAACAGGAAAGTAATTGTTATATTCAAAGAAGATATTATTGATATATGATCTGTGATCGTATATTAAATAACATCTATCAAGACCTTTGATGAAGGAGAGACATTACTAATTGTGTTTATCATGTCTATGACGACTTGTTGTTAAGATGTTTGTCATGATTTGTGGGAGGAAGGTTCGAATTTCTATCCGTATACTTCAAAATTCTTTTTAATATCGTGTTTTTACAAAATGTTTAGAGAAAATTTCATAAATATTGAGTTTTTTAAATTAAAGACACTGTAAATATGTCTAGTTTTCATCTTATTGTATCGTACATATCAACTTTATCTAATCTATTAAAAACAATTACAAAAGTTAGTTGAGTTAAAATTATTAATAGTTAGAGCTTGATCAATTTCTCTTATTAGTTTCATCTTTTTTATAAATGTGTGAAAAGTAGCATCATAAAAACATTAATTTTCATCGTTTTATTTATTTTACAATCATTTTATAGCGCCATTCTTTTTCGATGCTAGACAGTTAATGATTTCAGCGTTCGACTCTTTGATTTTTTATCTGAACTAGTACAAGTACTAAGTATTCAATAACTAATCTGAGCTCGTAAGAAAAATCTCGTTTTTTGTCGAAAAATAGTAACAACTTGGAAGTAGTATTATGATGATAATGTTCGTTCGATTCTACCCATTTTTCACTAACAGTAGAAAAGTCTGGCGGCTGTATCGAGACGTCGTACTCTCGCCTTTCAACTTTCTACTCTATTCCGAACTCTTTAGAGCAGAAATCGACAATACACCATTCAATTGGGAAACTGACAAAAAAAAAAAAAAACTCATTGTTTTTTTTCTTTATTGTTTACGATAGAAAGTAGCTTGTTTTAAGCATCATTTCCGAGAGTCGACAAACTCGTCGTGTAGTAAATATTTATTAGATTTCAATCTGAACTTTTTCTAAAGCTTCTTTTTTCCTGATGCAATCATTTCACATTTCTAAACTTGTAAATGATTCTATAATATTTCTAAAACAAAATAATTACCAGTAGTTCCTTAGTTTATTTAATAGTCACATAAGTTATTTAACAAACCAACAAGAAAATATTAAATGAATAAATCTGGTCAATAACTTCTTGACATGTTAGAAAATATTTTTTCTTTCTCTTTTCTAAATATAGAATTTTAAATAAAACATGATTATTGTCGATACTATATGAATGAATGTCGGATAAAAAAGAAAGGTCGTTTTATTCATAAACAACAACATTTACATATGTTATGATTCATAAAAGATTAATTGAGACGCCAAACAAAAGCATAAGTAGTTATCAAAGACAAAACACTGTACGATTGAGAACATATGTAATAATTAGTTGCGACGAGGTGGTTCTGCAAAATTTGCAAAATCCTAAAAGAAAACAATTACTCTAATACAAAATAAATAAAAAAAAAAAAAAAAACCATACAATTAAAAATAATGCACCGACTGCAACAGCTTTCATTTTTACATCCAAATCAAGAGGCACTAGTAAATAAACATATAGTTATTAATAGTTATATATGTTCTATTTTACTCCGAATAGTAAATGTATCAGCCGCTGTCATAGCTTCAGCAATAAATCCACGATATTTCTTATGAATAGCACCTATTTCTGTTATTCCATCAGTACCATATAACTATATACATTGAATAACATTCAAATAAATATTACTAAAATTCTTACTGTAAATTTATTTTCACAACAGGCAGCATATGGACCATCACAAATACATCCGGGACCAATAATAGTCAATACAGGATTTCCCGTAACATCTTTTAAAACATATTTCATACGCCAACAACTGCATCTAAATATAAAATGAATTAGTAATATCATTTCGTTTTATCTTTTGTTTTTGTTTTTATATACTCTTGTGTAACAAAACCTATTACAGTTCCGGGAGGTGATTCAACAGCTACTTCTTGACTACATCCATCGCAACAAGCAAACCAACAACAACCAGCACAACATTTAAATTCACGTTTAACACGAATTATTTCCTTAAAATAATTATATTTTGAAACTAAGGTAAATTGTACATATATATATATATACTTACTTGATTTGTACTATCGACAATATGAAGATCAAATCGACGAGTTTTTGGACAATATATACGTTGACAAATATTAGATTCTAAAAGTATACTTAAAAAAAACAAAACAAATTTCTTTACATATTCTTACCTTCAAATGCAAAATAAACTTGTTCGCCTCTATCATTGAATATTCCATATTTTGCTTGAGATGGAATTCCAATTATTACTAAAACGAAAAAAAAGGTAAGTAAAATTTTATAATTAAAATAGTTTATTGAAAATACATTCAGTCATTGAAACAACTTGTTTTGCTAACAATGAATCTAATGGTCTTAAATAAGCAAGTCCACTTGGATCACCAATAGGTTTATCCATCCATTTTTGTTGTTGTTGTTGAGGATTTATAATATTATTTCCCAAAAATTGATTAGTTTGAGCCATAAAAACTGTTCCATTCATAGTTAGCTTTTATTTCTCTTTTGTTGATTTAAGTACAACTATTTTGATAAAAATATGCAATGATGATTGTGTTTATGAAGTTTGGTAAAAAAGAAAAAAAAAGTATTTTTTCCTTTTCCGCTCGTCGGTTTTTCTTTTTCTCTTTATAATGAATGCGTCACAGGACTAATATATATATATATATAAAGGCGTTAGCAAAGAATTTTTGTTTTACGTTACTGTCATATGTGACATTTGAACGTCGACGTAGACTAGGTGTTGTCATTGGCACATTTTCTTCTTGTCTCACTAAGAGTAAAATCTAAAGGAAAGAAAAAAGAATATGTTTGTTTTTTGCTTTTGAACAGAATACATTTTTGCATTGAAATTCAACATTGACAAAAAACAAGTGATTTTTCTCAAAAATTTCTATTACTATAATTTTTTAGTTAAAAGTTTAATCGGCTATTGTTGTTATTTCGGAAATATCCGATTTGATTTACATAAACTGTTTTCATTTGATAAATATCAAAGGGAGATTTTCAAATAATTTCATTTTTTAAAATAAAATTAAAGAAAAGAAAATCCAGACATCTAAATATTTCATGTCGTATTATTTATTGATAAAAACTATAATTCCCAAAGCACCACTTAACAATATTTATTGATCGACATTATTATCATCATTTTTATCAAAAACCGGAATCAACAAAATTAGATTGAATACGGATATGTGACGACATACTGAAATAAAAAATAGTAGTCATTATGGCCTTATGTTAAATTCTATATATAAATCTATTTAATGTTAGAACATGTATCTTGCAATTTATGATTGTTTTGTACTTTTTCAAGTATAAATAATTCTTCAATCATGTTTTACATTTATATCACGAGTTGTATAACTCTAGACAAAAAACGCCATACTACTCACTTCATTTCTTGTCATACACATCCGATAAGCCTATTTTCATTCGTCGAACTAATTTTTATGGATGTCATCAATGACGATTATATATATGTTATATATGTATTAACAAAGATCATTTCTATGATTTAGTAATATTATTTAGCTTACTTATTGAACAAATACATCCTACATATATTCTGTAGTTTGGAAAAAAACTCATTATCAAATGTAAGTATTTACAAAATATCTGAGTAGAAAAGGTGTAAATATTTAAAAACAAAAGCCTTGAGACAAAGTAGAAATTTAACTTATGTTGTTTTCTTTTAATTCTTTGAATATCTTGTATCAAATTGATTTTATTTTCTTCATATACAACTTTTATAAGTTAGTAATGAAATATATAAAAGTAACTTATTTTCTTTTTATAGATAGAGCACATACTATATTTCTTAGTTTTTTTTTTGTTTGTTTTATTTGATTACATTCTTGATAACGCAATATTCGAAATTATTCTTTATTTTTTTCTTGTTTTTTCCTTCATAATACCTAATAACAAGCATCCTACGTTGTTGTTGCCATCATGATCATTATTCTAGATCACTATGGATTGTTTTCATAGTCTTCTATTTTTGCTTCATATAAACATGCATGTCAATCTCTCGAGCTTGTGCCTCTGCATACATAAGTAAATTGAGGAAATCGACTGTGAGTATATTCGTGATGTTGCACAAATATACAAATCTCTTTTATTTTTCTTTTGCACTTTACCATCAATACATCAGTTCTGTATTGCGTTTAGATATATTTTTCTTATCTAAAGTAAAAACGAATGTACTAATGATTTATAACATAAGGACACACTTTCTGTCATTTTAAAATGTACAAACTAAAGGTTTGCTTATAATAATGAAATCATTTGTTTGTTTTTTTTATTTCATTCAGTTTTATTTATATTTTGTTGATTCAATAGAATTTCTTTTTAGATTAAAATTTTTCTCGGTTTTTTTTTTTTTTGCAAATTCAAACAATGAACAATAGTACGAATAATATATTTTTTTCACATTTACTTAAATCAGCAACATGTGAAGATTGGGAAAAACTATTATATTATCTAAATGCATCATATTCTGAATCTGTAAATATGACGCGTGATGCTTATATGGCAAAATATCAAATGCCACAATGTGTACCAAAACCATATCTAGGTGTACAAGGTATTAAGAAATGGGTAACAACAATAATATTAATTTCTTTTCTAATATGTGGTCTTATTGGAAATATGTTATCAGCAACAATTATGTTTCGACGTTCACGTCGTGGTCTTTCATCTTATTTTTATTTAGCATTATTAGCTATTGCAGACATATGTGTACTCTATTCTGGTGGTCTTTTAGCTGTGTTTGACATTGGATTTGGTTATCATCCAGAATCAAATACAACAATAAATTGTCGTTTAGGTTTTTATATAAGACATTTATTTACATATTTATCAGCTTGGCTTATTGTTGCTGTTACATTTGAACGTTTTATAGTTGTACGTTTTCCATTTCAATCAATTCATATATGTCGCATGCATGTTGCATATGGTGTAACATTAGTTATCTTTATATTTTTTTCACTTTTTTCAGCACATTGTTTTTTTACAATGGATGTTACACGTAAAAGTTTACAAACACAAGATGGTTATCATCCTAATTTTACTGTTTGTGAACTTACTATACATGAACGTTTATTTGGTTTTATTGATTTATGTTTTTATAGTGTTATACCATCAATATTAATTATTATTTTTAATACATTAATTATATCAACAATGTTTTATGCTATAAAACAACGAAGAACTTATTTACAAGCAAGTAGTTGTTTACCAACAACGGATACAAGTCAAAGAAATCATAATCTAAAAAATAAAAGTTCATCTTCAATTCGTACACCATTTTTTCGTAGTCGATCAGGAGGTTAGTAATTCAAATGTAGACTTTAACTTATACTTAAGAATTAAATTATCATTAACATTAGAAGAATAAATAAAACGATTGATAGACAATAGCTTGTTTCATGTTATTATTTTCATTTAAAAAAAAAAAAAAAAAAAAAAAAAATTCGATGATATGATAAGGAAAAAGAAATATATTTAAAATACTGTAACTAAGATTTAATTAAATGTCTATCGAAAATGATAAATAATACAATATAGAATTTAATTGTATTTAAAATTTAGATAATTAGTCGAAATCTAGGACAAGTCAATCGGAAAAATTTTGAATAGATGAGCTTACAGAAAATTGATCTTTTCAAAAAATTCTATAAATCGAAATTATCATTACACCAGCCTATTAATACTAAGTAGAGTTCACTGAGTTTAATTCTTTTAGATCGAGATACGACATCAACTCGATGAGCTTGAATATCAACTATAATGATATTAAGATTTTAAGAAAAACAACCAGTAAAAGAAAATCATATTAGTATAGTATAACAGTCGAGAAGAAATAGATAAAATCAGAACCTCGATTAATTAAGTCATAAAATGATTAGAGCTTCTAACAAGTCATCCACTTCATGTCAGATAAGATTATACAACATCATGATTTCAACAAGCCATAAAAAAATCTAACACATCAAAGAACTCTCATAAAACTTGCTTCATATTTTCGAGAATAGAAAAGGTTATAAATAATAAAAAGAAAAAAGATCAATAATGAAAAATTTTCTTTTTATTTTTAATCATAGTTACTTTCTTTCTTTGAAATCATTAATTCTAATTCATTTTTAATAATCTTAGAATCAACACCTGCTACTCGTTCATTTATTCCTCATGGTCGATTATATCATAATGGATTAAATAAAAATGGTTTTCAACGAAAATCTCAACGAGTTTTATTTGATTCAACAAGTGCAACAGGAATACGTTTAACATGTTCATTATTAGTTATATCTTTTGTATTTGTTCTTTGTACAGTACCTATATCAATACGTTCCCTAATAACTGATCTTTTTCCTGAATATGACTCAACAGCATATTGGCAGCTAACACGAGTTATTTTAACTTCATTAATGTATTTAAATCATGCAGTAAAGATAATCATTTTTTTGTTGTTGCTGTTGTTTGAAATAGTTTATCTTCACTTTTAGGTTAATTTTGTGCTTTATTGTTTAACTGGCCGAGCATTTCGACGTGAATGTCGAAAACTTCTGAGTGATTTATGGGGACTAAAAGATATTCGTATATCATGTATTATAAATTCAAATAGAGATAAACATAATCATTATCATCAACAAATGAATCTTTCTAATCGAAATCGTATGATCATTCCAGAAAAACAACAACAACAACAACGTATGAAAAGATCATGTTTGTAATTGTTTTTTCCTTGTCATATTTATCGTCTTTATTTTTTATTTTATTTTTATTTCTTTTTAAAGACGAAAACATGAATTTTAAATGTTTATTTTTTAAACGCTAATTGTCCATCCAACTCGTTTATTTCGTTGTTGTTGTTCTTCATCTTCTTCTTGTAATTTGTATGGTTGAAAATAGTTTGAACATAATTTTCTCGTTAATCTAATTGGATATTGTTCTTGTCGTTGACATATAAGTGAAATAAAATTGGATCGATGTATTATAGGTGATGATGTATGAGCAAGATTCAATGATGGATAGTTTTCCATAAGAAAACTATCTAATAGTGGTGATGATTCAACTGAAGAAACAAATACCATAAAGATAAGAAGATATAATGAGAGAATACGAAGAGCCATTTTGTTTAAAAGTTCAAGTTAATACAGTTTGATTACTAAAAAAAAAATATTTAATTAGAATCATATGAATATTTTTAGGCGTTGATCAGTAAATTCTCTAGATAGTTAAATTATCTCTACTTAATCGAGGACAGATCTGGTTACCTTCCATCTCACGCGGCGATCTATGATCTATATATTTGCCCGTTTGAGAGTGAGTAAGTACACACTACGAATTGCTTCTTTCCAAAAAGAAAAGACTGAAAATCCTCAAAAATAGATTCATTTATCGCCGAGCTCTAAAAAGAGATATACATGCATTACTGTCAATAATTCATAGATTCATCATTTCTTGAATGAATCTATGCAAATATCGGTTAGTTTTTTTCTTAATACGATAATGTCACGATGTCTTATTTTCAATAAATCATATCGTAAAATTAATTATAATTATTTCTATTTTTTAATATATTAAGTTTAAATGATAGTTCTTGTTCTAGAGAATAGACAAACTTTAATTTATACATTCAAACATAGAAATAATAGTCACTGATAAATAACTTACCAAAGAATTCACTATCAAATGAGATACTATTAACATAATCATTCTGCTATTTATATTCCGACAGCTATTTAAAGTTTTCATAGCTACTTAAAGACTTATAGATAATTAAATATTCGTCATCTATCTATTCACATTAAATATATTTTCATAAGAAGCTATTTAATCTTCAACAGTATTTTAAAACATATTGAAAATTAGTCAATTAATCTTCGTAATTATTGAAATAAGTGTTGGCTATTTATTTCAAGTTACTGATCATTTCTGAGCAAGAAGAAAGATTGTAAAATAGAATGCAATGATCAATAATTTAAATAGCTACTCCCTTTTCAATTACTTTTATTTTATTAATCTGCATCATGTTATCAGCTATTGTTAAGCTAGCATCATACAGATTTTTTTTTATAGCTATTTAACATATTTGATAACTATTGAAGAAAAAAAGAAATATACGGATTTGAAATGATCAACTAATACAAAAAAGAAAGTACAAAACTCTGTTAAAAATGAATCAGCTATTTAAATTGAAGAATTCTTTTGAGAAACTACAATATATTTCTATTCATGAAGGTTGAAAACTTAAAATATTCTAGAATATCTATAGCTAATTGTAGTTTATTGATGAACTGATTATTCGATCCTAAAAGTGTAGTTTTATGTTAGGTTGATATGACATTTTTTTAGTCTCATGTGATATACGATAGGATTTTCTCACGACTAGTGTTTAGAATTTTAATAATAAATGAATATGTGTAATCTTGTCAACAGACACAAAGTTTCATATTAACTTTATAAACTTTATTGATATAATGAAGAAAATTTTACAAAAATTTCTAAATAAACTTGATTTACAAACTAATTATTTTTTTATTTATCTTTAAAACACAATATTTGAAATTAAAACGTATAATTATATCAGGATTACCAACTACATTTAATCCTTATTTTATTCTAATATCTTATCAGACGTGAAAAACCCACATGTAAATACAACAATCTTTATAAATAATAATAAAAAAGAAAAATTAAGCGTAGTTCAATTTATTGATAATCCAGGTCAATGCGAACGAAACGAAAACGCGTGTGGGCACTCAGAGAAAATTCTGAAATAAAGCCAAGTACATACTGCACGTCAACCGATGAACATATTTCCAGCCAAATATTCACAATGCATTCGTTTGTTCGGAACATTGTGAGTATGTAGATCAGAATATGTTTGTCTCGTGACATATAGTGTGTTCATAGCTTTTGCCATATTCTCTTCGAGTGTTCGTATACGGGTCGTCCGTTTAGAACGTGTTTTCATTTCGTTCGCTTTAACCTAGGAAATCATTCATAATGAAAGTATCCTGCATGAATAATTGTTAAATATTAATAGGATTTCAGAGAGCTAATCGTACTGTTCTAAGAATCCGTTTTTTTTTCTTGCAAAGAAACCATTATTTCCCATCACTATTTATCTCAACACATGAACTAATTTTTTTTTGTCATATGAAACAAACAATGAATCTAATTGTTATGATATTCGAAAATAACGTTATTTTTCTGAATTTATTTTATCACATATACTTATTCTTCAATTAATGTTCTTTGTTTTTCTTTTTTACTTTAAGTATTTTACATCTCATGAGATAAACTAAATTATTTGTTATACTAAAATTCAATGAAATCAAAATTAAAAAAAAATGAAAATGTCTATAAACAAACCGCTCTGTTTCAACAGTTCTATTCTTAGAATTGAGCTATTCGAAAAATTGTATTCTGTTTTATGAAAATGGCATTTTAATAATCGAACAAAAACCAAACAGTAAAATCTTATAAGATTAAACAAAAACTGTAGAAAAAAAAATCGTAGTCCCAGAGATCTTACGCTAAGTGTGAACGATAGAATTTCTGAAAGATTTTGCCGGGCTTATAATATATTACTATGAGATTATAGGAAATCTTATGTTATAATAAGATCTTTCAATAATTTTATAGTACGATTAAGTCTAAGATTTGTAAGACGACAATTTTTTTAATGATTTTATTTGGTCTTGCGCGACCATCTTACATGTAGATTTTTTAACCTGAACAAAATTTTATGTACCCGAAAGTGTCATTCCTAAAAACAGAACAAAGAGTTATTTTTTGTACCTGAAAGGATCTTTCTCAAAAATAGAACAAAAATTATTCAGACAACTTACTTTCTCAGATTTGAACTAGTCGACTTCTACTTATCAATAAAGATCATTCATCTTTCAATCGCTTCGATTCAATTCTATGAAATGAATTTGTAGCTTCAACAACTTTGGCTAACAATAAATAACGAAAAAGAGTTCAAAGTTAGGATTGTTATCGAGGTATCCCTCAATGACCCTATTATCATCTCATCATCTTAATTACAATATGCTTTGTCTTCTATTTAGTGTGATTATCTTTTGATAATCTTTTATTCTACATATGGCGTGATCATCGTTATATGTACTATTGTTCAAGATATGGCGTGATTCTACCAACATATATATCAATATACGCATTTTCCTTATCTCTGTTTTCTTGCGTCTTTGTTTTGTTTGTTGAATATATACGCCTTGATTACTTTTTTTTTGTTTTTAAGTAAACTGTATAAGCAGAAGAAAAAAAAAAATTTTTTTTTCGAAAATTACGATGAAGAGATTAATTGTTTATTATTATTTCTGTAGAGAATCGAACAATGAATCTTGAAAAAAAAACCTACTTCAACAAATAAAAAGATCTTTGCCATATTTTAGTTATGGGTGAGTCCATGGGAAACCAACCACTATTTTGAAAAAAGTTTTTTCTTCTAGTTAGATTGATCATCGATAGAAAATAGGTTTGGCCGAAAAATATTCCTAAGTAGTACTTGATATCCAGAAGATCCAAGCTGCTGTCTCGNTCATCTTCAAAGTCGCTTTTTCCCCTCAAAAAAACCTTTTTGAATGCATAAAAAATCCACAGTTTTGCTTCTAAAAACGCGTTTCTGTTACTGATTTTACCGGCCTTGGATGTTCTTCGTCTAAACAAGGAAGAACTAATGATGAAGATAGTCGTAGTACTTTGAATGACATTAATATATCTTTTTTGACTGATGTTGTTATGTTTTCATCTCACTTGATCATTCGAGTGTTATAACTGGAAAGTGATTCGCTCATCTTTCTTCCCTACAAGTGATATAATCTATGTGACAGATATTACGCTTTATTTTTCTATTTACTAATGTTAAAAATTAAGTTTTGGTAAATCGAAAAAAAAATATCGGAGTCGAACTTGTAACTGACTCCGACTCCGACGGAGTCGGGTTTCGGAGTCCTCCGCAGGTCTCTAATGTAGACATATCTGGTTCGTGTTGTGTATAAAATATCGTTTTATTTAAATCATCTCGATGAAAACTAAACATCTACGTATGCATATTGAACAATTTTGAGTGTAACAACAAAAATGTGTAATTTTCTTCAAATCAATAGATTCGTATATTAGCGTTTATTGATTTTCAGCATTTTGTTCCGCTTTTGATATGTTAAACTTTGAAATTTTCGGCATTAAACATTTATTCAATACCTACAAACTCAAATTATTTTCAAGTGGAGAATCGATTAATATCGAAATATTGAGAAGCAGTCGACTGAAGAAATGTTGAGAGTGTGACACCGTTCAATCGAGAAAAACTTTAGTTTCTTTTCCCAGTTGAAAGAAAAAAAAAATTTTTATGCGCTTTCTTACAAAAAAAATCTTTACAACCTCCGAAAAAATTGCAATCACTCAATGTTGCTAGCCCTGAAGTTTAATTTATAATATGATGTAAAATAGTATGTATATCTTAAAGTTTAAATATTTTTCTAAAATATGAGTATCGTGACGAAAAAACACAATTTTCAGATTCATTACTTAGTAGATATCTCTGTCTGAATACGATCAGTTTTATCGAAAATTCCCCCTAAATTTCTATAATTACAAAAAAACACAAAGTTTGTACATTGAATGAACGTCCTATGTAGAAAAAGCAGAACAAAGAGTGAAGAGAATTTGCAGTCAGACAGATCATATATCTGAATACTTTTAAGCTTTTTATTGCCTCACCGAATCCTACATGTAACATAAATACGTAATCAAACAGCGTCCGACAGTTGAATATATTCAATGCTAAAAATGAAACTAATAATTTCTTTCGTATCCATCTAAAGAGAAAAAAAATTTCCTATTCAAAGATGACAATTATTATGACATAATAAATATTTAGAAAACAAAACCAATACAATTCTAATCGTTAATATCATCGAACAGAAACGTTCAAAATCAGCAATATAACCTATACTGTGACAATCTTCGCATAAGATACTCGCTCACTTTTCGAGCACTAAAAGACAACGAATCAAAATTTTTCGTTGTTTTCGAACATATGTTCAGATTTTCCTTCTAGAAATATAATATAGGCGACTCAATCATATTCACAACTCATTAGAAGCATGATTTCAACTAAAATCTTATATTTTTCTAAGAGTTAAAAAAAAAAAATTCAATTTGGAAGAACCGCGATTTTCCCGACATCGGTAAGCATTCGAAATAAATATGAGTTCTGGTTTACATAAACTTATCTTTATATTACAAAAAACGAGAACTCATACCGACTTACTTTTCGAAAACTATCATTAAGATCATTTAAACCTTTAATATATATATCAGCTTGATGAATCCATGATGCATAAGTTTTTGTACAATTTGATAACCAAAGTGTATTAGCAAATGGTTGTTGATTATCAATCATACCTAATTGACCATTAAATTCTCTTTCAACTATTTCTAATATATCTTGTTCACATTTTTTTAATTGTTCATATGATTGAAGATATGAACGTAAATAAATACGCATACTTTGTTTCATAAGTTGGGCAGGAGATGGAGTCGATGAACGATGTGTTGTTCCTATAAAGTAGAAAATAAATATCTTTTTATATGAATTAGATTCTTATAATATTACCTGGTGATAAACTACTTTCATTCGATGATGAACTAGGATTATATAAATGTGAAAAACCAATAGTTGGTGCTTCTCCACTTGCTGATTGTGTACGACCTGAAGAATTATTTCCATTATTTGAATTCATTGATAAATTATTTGATAATGTTGATTGATTATTAGTATTACTACCAATTTGATCAAATATATTTTTTAATTCTTCAATTGCGCGAAAAACAATAAGTTTTGAACGAATTGAACAAAGAAATTCTAATAAATCTGATTTTAAATGTTGTTGCATTATTGTTGTTGAACACTGAGCAGTTTTTAATATATTTTGATATTCAATTAATTGAGTTTTTATATAAACAAAAAATCCAACTGTATCATTACTCCAATCACATGCAGCAGCAACATCATTATATTGTCGAATTGGTTTTAGTTTTGGTATATGAAGTATTGGACAATATTTATCATCAGATTTAATTGGAGAAAATGTATAAAATACAAGTGGAGTTTCATGTGATGTTGGAATTGGTAATTGTTCACAAAATGCCTTTATTGACATTGGTTTAGTTTTTGATATTGGATATGGTACACTAGAATAATTGAAAATTTTATTAGGATTTCATTCGACAAGAACTTCCTAAACCATTCAAGAATCACTATTAGAAAAAATATATATTTTAATTCTAGAGATTCTCTTAAAAAAGAATAATTTCAGTAGGTATTACTAATGAGGAAATTGCGCAAAGTGATTCTACATTTTTGACCTCATGTTTTACCCAAAAGTATGATAGCTATAGACTAAAAAAAAGCCTAAGAAAATATAGACCCATACTGTGATTTGACTTAGGTATAGAAATTTTATTGAAATTTTTCAGTAAAATTATATGTTCGAATTTTGACCTGAAACTTTATCAATATGAAGACTTCAACTAGAAGTAGCTTAAGCGGCTATATTCATATCTCAAGAATACTTCATCCGAAAATTCCATATCAAAATTCTGTTTGTTGACTTTGCAGCATATACCTATAGCTACATCGAATCATGCTCTGGCTAGCAGGGACGGCGCGAAGAGGTCCGAGCAGGGGGAGGGTATCCAAAAAATCGGAGAAAGTAGCTTAGTAACTTTCTTCAACGTTATAAAAATTTGTCTCTTGTCCGAGTTCACCCAAAAATTGTCCCTTAAGACTGCTAATACAAAACTCCCGATTTTTCGTAAAAAGCGATGACCGGGGATGGGAGGGGGGTAGCGCGGCAAAAGTCCCCGTACCCCTCCTCAGGCTTCATTATAATTCTCCCTAATCCACAGAAAACCTACCCCAAAATTGGAGAAAATCTAGCCCAAAATCGGAGAAAGTCAAAGCCAAAATTTTTCAAAGCAGGGTGGGTGACCCCCCGGTCGCGCCGTCCCTGCTGGCTAGTCTCATCAAGATGTTCTTATAGGTCTAATGTTAGCTCAAATGGTGAGTATATATTTATTTTAATATGTTTCCAGTTCATTATTTGAATTAAAATTTGTTTCAAATAATAAATTAAGAATAATCTAAAATGATTTAACATTTGATTATCTACTCCTTTAAAAATGAAGACATTACTTTATATATCGTCTTATGCAAACTAACTCGAAATAATCATTGAAAAACATACTAAAAGTATAATTGATACTATTCAATTATAAACCATGACTTATGTTTCGTATGCATTACGTATATAACACCTCACAGTTTAATCAAATAACTAATGATCAACTTTAACTATGTGCGCGTTAGAATTTCTCTTCAATTGATTTTTCAGAATTACATAAGCTAAGTTGTACATATGAACTATAACAAAATTTCAACCTAGTTTTTAATTATTCAACTTGATATAAAAAGAGCTGATTACTAAATCTGGCTTATATGAAGATAGTGACTTATTGATTTCTTTTGCCTTACTTTTGAAAGAGACAATAATATTCTTCATGAGTTTTATCATTATTTTGTTGTTGTAATTTATCATATAATTTAGTTATCGGTTCTGTTGGTTCAAAATAACTGCATGTTAATATAAAACGTTTTAAATTTAAATAATAAATTGGCATTAAATTAAATATACGATCAGTTTCTTTAAAGAATTCTGAAAATCTCATTAATTTATTTCGATCAGATTCAAGTAAACGTTGTAATAAGATTTCTAATTGTTTTTTTAGATCTTTTGATAAACGACATGATTCTGGTAAAGTTTTTGACCATTGTATATCTCCACCAAGACTATTTTCAACACCTATTTTAATTCAAAAAAATAAAACAAAACGAAAAATCTTATTCTATTGAAAGAATAAGGATAAAATTCTAGTACCAGAAATACATCCTGATGGTTTTGTATCTAAAATACGTTTCATAACATTTCGATCTTTTCGTGTACCAGCAAATGGTTGAAATGGAAGTTCACCTTGAATAATATGAAATTAAAAATGATGTTTTAAAAATGAAATTACAAACCAGTTGCACATTGATAAAGAGTAACACCAAGTGACCACAAATCAACTTCAAATGGAAAATCAACACGAGTTTTTAAAGCTGTTCGTAAAGCATTTGTTTTATCATCATGTACAGCAGCTCTAAATGATGAGAAAAAGAGTATTTATAATTTAAGATGATTCTTCTCAAAATGACTAGAGCCTATCAGTTCAAAAATTTTCGATCCCACACATCTCTAGTCTATGAGATAAGTGTCACTTCATTAATAAATTCTTCAATAAAATACACATCTTGGTGAGACTAGTTCATGTTGAAAATGCATGAATTTTTCAATATAAAAAGCTAAGTAATAATACTTTAGAGCATCGTGTAATATTTTCTTTTAGCTAGGAACACTATTTGTTAATCCTTGACCTCCAGAAGAGTCAATAGTAGATCAGATGTGTTACCCTATGTGACAAGTAATTTGGAAACCCTGGTTGCCGTTGGAATGTATCGACGTAAAAGAAATCAATTTTTTTTTAATGCAATAATACGAATAAAGAAAAAATCAATACATAAAAAGACTATCTTTGTGTATAGAACATATGTACTTGTGAAATAATTTTCTATGTACATAAAATCTGTTTTTCTCAAAGTATTAAAATCATCAATGAAAGTATAATTTGTTAATATCGAATATAATAGGATTTAAAACAAATTGACTGTAAGTGTCGTTTGAATTTCTTCTTATCCGACAATCACATTAAATATTTATATAACAACAAATGATGCTTAGATTTATAATTAATGGCAATTTGCTCAGTTATCCATGCATAGACATAAATAAATATTATATTTACACGAGAATGTCTAAATTTTTTTTTCATATCATTACCCTTCAATGAGAAATTCAGTTACCAATAGAGGGTAAACGAACTATTGTTGCTTTTATGAAAAGAAAAAAAAAAAATGTTTGACAAAATTTTCAGCTCATGTAGTCAACATCAAATTTCGTATCGCCTAATTATTTATAGGACAATCTGTCTATATAAATACAAAACTAAAATCTTCGCTAATTTGATTTTTTGTATACTGTAGAATAAAAAAGTTTGTACACGAGAGGCAATTTATTGAATTCGAACATTGATGCTTCCATTTTTTTTTTTAAATGAATATTCAAATCTATCTATAAATCATTTTCGAAATAAGAATGTTAGTATTTAATAAATTTCTTTGATGATTCACTTCAGATATTTCATTAAGTTTTTAACGATAAAAATTTTTCTTTTACCGGTATAATTCTGGATGAATATATTCTTCAGTTCCAACAAGTGTTGTAAAAGCATTTTCGCCTTCATTAATAAGTCTAGCAACACCTAAATCAGCTAATTTATATGTACGTTCACCATTGATATTTATCGAAAGCATTATATTATCTGGTTTAATATCACGATGAATCTAAATATTTTAATGTATCTTTTTACCTTCATAAAAAAAAAAAAAGAAAATATTTCATTTTTCTTACTGTATTTTTTGTATGTAAATATTTTAATGAATTAGTTAAATGTTTAAAAACTAACATAAATTCATCTTCTATTAAACCATAATGATTTTCAGGTAATTCAAGTACATTATGTAAACTTCCACCATTACAATATTCAATAAGTAATGCTTCACGATTATTTATTGATCCCGATGCATCAACTGATATAACCGGTTCTAATGCAATATATCGAACAATATTTTCATGATTAGCTGATTTAAGAATATCTAATTCATGATCTAATATATTACGATAATCTCGATTACGATTTGCTTTTGCATCTCCATGTGGTGAACGTGAACTTGATGAAGTCTGATAAACTTTAGCAGCAACAACTTCACCAGTTGATTTATTATATGCTTTATATACTTGTGACGTAGCGCCATGTCCAAGTATATCTTGTACTGCCCATAGATAATTTGTTGTTTCTTCACACATATCTAAAGAAAATAGAAATTATTTGTATAATTTTCTATTGATTTATTATTGACAGAAGAAATCAATTTCATGAGAAAAATAAAAAACAAAATATTTCTGTACTCAGTAGTGAATAAGCAAAATTTATGCTTCTTCTTTTTTCTTTTAAACATAAGCAGTTGTTTAGAGGCGGAGAAAACAAGATTTAATTGGTTAAATACATTTAGATAGATGTCATTATTTTCATTGAAAATCAATTGGGGATATTGATTAAAAACATCGAGAAATTATTTAGAACATTTGCGTAGTAAAAAAAATGTTGCTCATATTTAATCTTGAAAAAACTCGAAATATTTTCATCAGAACTATCGGTCTGATTTGTTGCCTGTCAAACCGGATCTAAGTTGTTGGTCTGGCTCTTATGTTGTGAAATGTTGACACATTGCCTTATTAGTCGAGAGTACTTTGGCAAGTTGATTCGATTCAAGCAGTAGATGTTCCAACCGAACGTCACAAATATTAGTGTTGTAAATAGAACCTGTCAAGTTGATTTCAGATCTGGATCCCAAGATTTTGAACTCGACAGACTTCCATTGACTGATAGAGGAATTTGTTAAGATAAAAAACAAATCGATAGTAAATTTTATGTTCATGTATTAATTGCCGAATGTAAATTTATCATTTATTCTCTATATCTTTGTTTATCTGTTCGTTTTATACCTAATTATATATTGTGTTTGATATTATGATTATATTTGTTCGATGATTAAAAATATTTTGTAGGAAAAATTTTTATGATGATTGTCTCTTCGTTTTAATTTTTTATTTCAATCAAAAATTTGTTCTGTATTACATCTAACGAGGGAACCTCCCGAGGTGTAACCTCCCGTTTTGATTCATTTATATCTCATTTAAGTGAGCATATTGAGATAGTAAATACCCTAAAAGGATTTGGGTTCCTGCTTCTTCTATCAAGAGTTATGAACATTTTACTGAATTTCCTATCTATCC